CCCCAGCACGACCCCACCCCAGCACGACCATACCCCAGCACGACCACACCCCAGCACGACCCGACCCCAGCACGACCCTACCCCAGCAAGACCACACCCCAGCACGACCACACCCCAGCACGACCTCACCACAGCACGACCACACCCCAGCACGACCACGCCCCAGCACGACCACGCCCCAGCACGACCACGCCCCAGCACGACCACCCCCCAGCACGACCACCCCCCCAGCACGACCACCCCCGAGCACGACCACCCCCCAGCACGACCACACCCCAGCACGACCACTCCCCAGCACGACCACACCCCAGCACGACCACACCCCAGCACGACCACACCCCAGCACGACCAGCCCCAGCACGACCACACCCCAGCACGACCCGATCGATAAATCACAGGGTGCGGAGCACCCCAGCACGAACCCACCCCAGCACGACCCCACCCCAGCACGACCCCACCCCAGCACGACCACGCCCCAGCATGACCACACCCCAGCACGACCACACCCCAGCACGACCACTCCCCAGCACGACCCCACCCCAGCACGACCCCACCCTAGCACGACCACACCCCAGCACGACCACACCCCAGCACGACCCCACCCCAGCACGATCACACCCCAGCACGACCCCACCCCAGCAAGACCACACCCCAGCACGACCGCACCCCAGCACGACCTTACCACAGCACGACCACACCCCAGCACGACCACGCCCCAGCACGACCACGCCCCAGCACGACCACGCCCCAGCACGACCACGCCCCAGCACGACCACGCCCCAGCACGACCACCCCCCAGCACGACCACCCCCCCAGCACGACCACCCCCCAGCACGACCACCCCCCAGCACGACCACACCCCAGCACGACCACTCCCCAGCACGACCACACCGCCTTGGTTGAGTGGTTGCCTGTCGTCGTGGAATGTTTCGTGGGGTGTCTCGTGGAATGTTTCGCGGGGTGTCTCGTGAAATGTTTCGTGAGGTGTCTCGTGGAATGTTTCGTGAGGTGTCTCGTGGGCTGTTTCGTGAGGTGTCTCGTGGGATGTTTCGTGAGGTGTTGCCCAGTTGGGTATCATGAAAACGTGTCCATGCTCCACATGTCTATATCCCTTTCCGGGTTCGTGGGTCCATCATGTTTTCTGTGTTCCTCCCTTCCCTGAGGACTGATTTCGACGGCGTCCTTCGACTCTCGGCGGCCAGCCCGGGGGGCAAGCGAGAAGGAAAAGGCCTTCGAAGAAGGTTTGGAAGCCCCCCGGCATTCTGAGAAGTTTTCCAAGCCTTCCCTGAAGACGCAAAAAGTGTTTCGGAAGGCGCGGGTTTTTTTGAGAAGTCCCGCCACCCCCCGACAAGGCCTTTCCCTTTTCGCCCCCCCCCTCTCTCGCCGCCGAGTTTTGGCGCTGGCCTCGCCGAAAGAAGCGCGCGCGTGCGAGCGATGCCGAGCGCCCAGCCCGCGCCCGCGCTTGCGCCTCCTCACGCCTCGCGAGGCGCGGCGCAGCGGCGACGGGGCGAGGGCGTCGCGAGGGCTTCCTCGCAGGCCTCCGAGCGCCTCGCGAGGGCCCCCCGCTCGCCGCTGGCGCTCATGGCCCCAGGGTTCAGTCGGGCATGTCACTCTACAGTGGGAATATTCAAGAATAGTCAAAAACTGATCTGGGAACGATTTTATTTTGCTGACTATTTAGGATTATGGTTAGATTAGTTTTATTTGATCGCTTCGATCACTCTGCCGGCCCGCGTAGCCTCATCTCTGCCGTTTACCCAAAGGATCGTTGTCAATGCGGCGCTGCTGGGGTCTTTTGGTAGTCGTTTCGGGGGTCTCTTGGAGGCAGTTTTGACGCCTCTTGTGGGCTCTTGGGGGCCGTTTGGGGGCCCTGGGGGGGTATTTGTTTGCATGTGGGGTTTTTGGGGGGCCACCTGGGGAGTTTCTTGTAGGTTTGTTGGTGGCCTCGGAGTGGTATTTTTAGGGCGGAGGAGGAGGGGGGGGAGGGGAAGAGGGAGGAGGAGTCTCTGGATGGCGTGTCGTGGCACGATTGGAGTCGATGAAGGTCATCGTCAAGAAGCTTTTGTGGGAGGCTTCGTGGGGCTGCGTGGTTGTGTGAGTCTGAGGCTTCTCGGATGGCTGATGGGGTCTCGTGGGAGGCTTCTCGGGAGCGTCTGGAGCTCAATTGTTAGGCCTCTTGGGGGCATTTTGGGGCCTCTTGGGGCTTGAGTTGGGCTGCAGGCTCGGATTTTCGCATCGCGTTCCCCCTGTTGGGCCGGCCGTCTTGGGGGGTTCCTTGGGCCGTTTTGGGCGCCTCCTGGTCCCCTCTTGGGGCCGTCTTGGGCTGTCCTGGGCGCCTCCTGGGCCGTCTTGGGGCCCTCTTCGGCCGTGTTCGGCCCATCTTGGTGGCCTGTTGGGCCGTCTTGGGGCAGTCTTTGGGGTATCTTGGGCAGTATTACTGGACGTTCTGAACCCCCAAGAGTCGCAAAAGCGAAAAATGCTCGCTTGCGTAAGGAAATGGGACGATTTTTCCCGGAAAGGGCAAAGGCCCAGGGGTCTCTTTTAGTTGGTTTCCCCCCGGTTTTGACGGCTGTAGGGCCGGCGAATTTCTTTTGTGATAAATAACGAGGTCGCTCAGGGCCGGCGAATTAAAAATTGAGGATGTCTCGAGCGAAACGCTTGTTTTTCAGAATTTGTTGAGGATGTCTCAAGCGAAACGCTTATTTTGTGTTATAGATTGTCCTCTCCTGGGGACCTGAATTCTGAGGATCTCTCAAGTGGATTGCATGTTTTCACTTGCCCAAGTCTTGAGAATGTCTCGAGCGAGACGCTTGGTTTCACGCCTCCAAGTGGCCCAGACAGATGTCTAGCATGAGGATTTGTTGAGGATGTCTCGAACCAGATGCTTATTTTCACGTGTCCAGGTCGCCCAGGCGGATGTCTAGCATGAGCATTTGTTGAGGATGTCTCTCGAGCGAGACGCTTGTTTGCACGTGTCCAGGTTGCCCAGGCGGATGTCTAGCATGAGGATGTGCTGACAACGTCTTGAGCGAAACGCGTGTTTTCACGTATCCAGGTCGCCCAGGCACAGCACAGCCCTCGTCACGGTACATCAATATCGAAACCCTTAGCATTGCAGCATGGCATGTTGCCTGGGACGTTCCGCGGAGCGTCCCGTGGCGAGTCCCCTTGGCACGTCGCGCGGTGCACGTCCATTGGCACGTTCCGTAGCGCGTCCCCTTGGCACGTCCCGCGGTGCGTGCCCATGGCACGTCCACTGGCACGTCGCCTGGCGCGTCCCTTGGGACGTTCCGCGGCGCGTCCTCTTGGCATGTTCCCTCTGTCGATTAGTTCTGGGGCAGCTACCATCTGCTCAGGCAGCTCGAGCTTACGATCTAGATCAGTTCGGTGAGGACTCGGATGCCAGGGAGGACTCGATCCACAACGCTATATATAGATCACAATCGCGGCATGGCACATCGCAGTTCAGCACGGCCCAGCACAGCACAGCCGTCGGCACGGTACATCAAGATCGATACACTCAACTATGCACCTTGGCACATTCCTTGGCGCGTTCCGTGGCGAGTCCACCTGGCACGTCGCGCGGCGCGTCCCCTGGCACGTCCCTCGGCACGTCCATTGGCACGTTCCGTAGCGCGTCCCCTTGGCACGTTCCGCGGTGCGTCCCCATGGCACGTCCACTGGCACGTCGCCTGGCGCGTCCCTTGGGACGTTCCGCGGCGCGTCCTCCTGGCATGTTCCCTCTGTCGATTAGTTCTGGGGCAGCTACCATCTGCTCAGGCAGCTCGAGCTTACGCTCCAGATCAGTTCGGTGAGGACTCGGATGCCAGGGAGGACTCGATCCACAACGCTATATAGAGCACAATCGCGGCATGGCACATCGCAGTTCAGCACGGCGTAGCACAGCACAGCCCTCGGCACAGTACATCATCATCGATACATTCAGCATTGCATGTGCCCGTCGCCCAATCAGGTGTCTTTGAAATGTTGCAATGCCTTACATTTCTATATTCCTTTCCGGGTTCGTGGGTCGATCATGTTGGTTGTTGAGACTCTTAGACGGTCTCATGATGCTCTTTTGGGGCTTCTTGGCGTCTTCTTGGGCCGTCTGGAGGCCATCTTGGGCATCTTGGAATGATCTTGCGGCGACCCAGGGCCTTTCAGAAGGTTTCGGGCGCGTCTCGGGGCTCTCTTGAGGCGTTCCTGGGGCGCTCTGGAAAGCCTGGAAGGCAGCGCCGAGGAGGAAAACCATCTCTGGGACCCATTTGGCCAGGACTTGCTCGGGGTACTTTTCGTCCGGGGGCCCCCAGGGACCGCCCCGCGCGCGAACTAGAAGACTATTATCCAGTTGCCAGAGATCTTAGCACGCCTCTGGCCCGTTGGGCCGGCGAATTTAGAAGTATGGTTTGACTATTTCTATTAATCGCCCAGACTCCGCCTGTAGGGAGACGTGCCCGACCTAACCCTAAGGGCCGAAGGGTGTCCAGGGTCCGCCTTCCCTGCCTCCCTGGGGCGGTCGGACAGGGGGCCAGGACGAGGTGAGATCCGTTCTGGAGCGCCCCAGAACGCTCTCGGAGCGTTCCAGGGCGCTCTGAGAAGGCCGCGGCGCCCGATACGTCCTGCAGAGCCGCCAGATCTCAGAGACTTTCGATTTGACCTCATGAAGCAATGAAGGACCCCCCCCTTCAAGTGAAACGATAACGCATTCAGCACCAGAAAGCGTGATCCTGGCACCCTGAGGAGGAGAGGAGGACGACGAGGAGAATGAGGAGGAGGAGGTGGAGGAGAAGGAGGAGGAGGAGGAGGAGGAGGAGGTGGAGGAGGAGGAGGAGGAGGAGGAGAAAGAGGATGAGCAGGAGGAGGAGGAGGAGGAGGACAGTCGTGGACCCGATGTTTTCCTTGTTCTGGCTTCGTCTGAGGGCTCCGTCGTCCCTGCCCCCCCAGAGCGGAGAGGGCGGTGGGCTTCGCCCCCCCCCCCCCCCCCCCACGCGCGCGGCGAGGCAAGCCATGGGCCGCTGCGGGAGCTCGCTGGGCTTCCGAAGGCGCCTGCCCTTTGGTTGGGGGGGGAGGGGGGGGGGGGAGGAGGAGGGAGGAGGGAGGAGGAAGGTTGGGGGAGGAGGGAGGAGGAGGAGGAGGAGGAGGAGGAGGAGGAGGAGGAGGGGGCGGAGGAGAAGGAGGAGGAAGAGGAGGAAGAGGAGCAGGACTGTCGCAGATGCACTGCTAAAGGGGCCTTGGCGTTGCTGCCAAAAGAGGAGGAGGAGGAGGAGGAAGAGGAGGAGGACGTCTGAAAGACTCCTTGCGCTTTAAGCAACTCTGCTTCTCAGGAGGAGGAGGAGGAGGAGGACGACGACGACGAGGACGAGGAGGAGGACGAGGAGGAGGAGGAGGAGGAGGCTGAATCCCAGGCTCAAGGGCACGAGCTCAAGTCGGGTTAGTGTTTTTTCTATATGTTGGGCGGATGTCACGGGTTTCGAGTCTCGAGTCTTGAGGAGGAGGAGGAGGAGGAGGAGGAGGAGGAGGAGAAAGAGGAGGAGGAGGAGGAGGAGGAGGAGGAGGAGGAGGAGGAGGCGGAAGAAGAGGAAAAGGCGGAGGAGGAGGAAGAGGCGTGGAGCAGGAGGAGGAGGAGGAGGGGAGCAAGAGGAGGAGGAGGAGGAGGAAAGGGGGTGGGAAGGAAGGATGTGGGGCGGAGGAGTGGCAGGACCAGGCGTGAGGGAATTGAGGAGGGCGAGGCGGAGGGTGGGGAGAGGGCGCCCTCTTCTCTTTGTTGTCCATTATGTTTCCTCGCCTCGGGCATCTGGCCTCGTCAGCCGGGCGGGTCCTAGCCTTACGGGGAGGCCGCGGGGGGGGGGGGGGTCGGGCCAGGCGAAAGGGGGGATAGGGAATAGGGAAGGGAGGGATCACAGCAATGTTACAATGTTTGCTGCGTGCAGCTGGCCTGACTGGCCTGCAAGGAGCGGCGTCGTTCCCCCCCCCCAGAGGGTTGCTTCTCTCCTCCCCCCCCATCTGTCTCATCCTCATCCTCCAATTTGTCACCCCTCCTCCCCTGGCCCAGCTCGTTCGAGCGGAGTCTTTGAAGAGCCATGATATCTCCCCAGGTGAAGGCCCCTTCTTCCTCTTTTCCTTCTTACTATCATTATTATTATTATTATTCGTCTTCTTTTTGTTTGTTATCATTAGTCTTATTCGTATTATTATTCGTATTACTATTATTATTACTAATATTAATATTAGTAATACTAGTCTTATTACTGTTATTATTACCATGATCATTATCATTATTATTTTTTATTATTATTATTATGCTTATGTTTCCTCTTCTTTGTCTTGCAACATGTCCCCTCGTACCTTCCCCCCCTCGTCCGCGCACATGCCTCGGGCCACGATTGTAGTGGCCTCCAGCAAGTGCCGCCGATCCGGTGCGCTTTTGATGCTATTGTTGGATGGACGATGACGACGACAACGGACGACCAACGCACGCCGAGTGGGATCATTACGACGACGACCAGGACCACGACCACGACGTCGACGACGACGACGACTAACGGCGAACGGCTGCCGACGGCCGACGACGACGACGTCCACGACTGACGGCGAACGGCTGCCGACGGCCGACGACCGACGATTGGTGGCGACGACGAGATGAGTGGGGGGAGGACGAGGAGGAGGAGGAGGATGAAAAGGAGGCTGATGATGATGATGACGACGACGGTGAAGTTTAAGATTATGTAGTGGCCTTCAGCCAATGCCGCCACCGTGTCTGGGTGGTGTCGGAGGGCTCTTCAGTGTTCGTTGGGATCTCGTGGTAGGTCTCTCGGGGGCCACATGGGTACACTTTTGAGGCATCCTGGACCCTCGGGGCCTCTTCTGGGCCTCTAGGGAGGCTCTTCTGGGCCTCTTGGGTCCTTCTAGGGGCCTCATGGGGGCCTGTTGTGATCTCTTGGGACCCTCTTGGGGCCTCTTGTGGGCCTCTTGGGGTCACTTGGGGGCTTCTGGAGGCCGAGGGCTCGAAGTTTCCGTTTGGGTTCCCCGTCTGGCTCCCCTGTGGGAGCCGTCTTGAAAGCCTCTGGGGCCGTCTTGGGGGGTTTGGGTAGTCTTGGGGCTCTCTTGGGCTGTCTTGAGGCCATTTTGGGAGCCTCTTGGGCTGTCTTGGGGCACCCTTGGAGGCCTCTGGGACCGTCTTGGAGCGTCGGGAAGCCGAAAAGGCGGGAAGGCCAGAATCCTTCCAAAAACCAGCGTAACATGTATGATGTTGGCCTCTGAGGGTCCTCTTCTGAGGGCTCTTGGAGGCTTCTTGGAGCGTCTCGGCGGCCTCTTGGGCCGTCTGGAGGTCATCTTCGGTGTCTTGGAGCGCTCTTTGGGCGTCTCGGGGGTGGTTGGGGCCGTCTTGGGGGGTCTTGGGGGCATCTTGGCCCGTGTTGGGGCCCTCGTGGGCTCTGAAAAGTCCCCCCCCGGACAGCGGACCACAACTCGTCCCCCCCCCCTCCCCCCCTCACCGGCAGAGCCCCCCCGGCCCCCCACCCCAGCAGAGCTGAAGCTCAGGCTCTAGGCTATAGGCTGTAGTCGAGACCTTTTTAAATTCATACGCCGGATCGGCGGATTTGCGAACCCCCGTCTTGGACGCCTCCCTCTTGAACGCCCCTGGATTGGCTAATTCTCCCTGCCCTTAACGATCCCCCTCTTTCGCCTTCCCGAGTGTGGCGATTGGCCCCTCCCCCTGGGCGGCGGTAGGTGCATGCACTCATCGTCCCCTACTCCGCGCGCAGGACTAGGGGGGAGAGGAGGAGGAGGAGGAGGAGGAGGAGGAGGAGGAGGAGGAGGAGGAGGAGAGGAGGAGGAGAAGGGGCAGGAGGAACAGGGGCAGGAGCAGGAGCAGGAAGAGAAACAGGATGGGCAGGATCAGGAGGGGCAGGGGTAGGAGGGGAGAAAAGGACAAAAACGACGATGGTGTGGGAGGGGGGGAGGACGAGAAAAACAAAAAACGGCACCTCCTTGCTGAGCCCTTCGGACTCTGAAGAGGACCGGGCGCTGCTTCGCTCCTGCGGCGGCCCCCCACGCGGCAGGCTGGCAGACCGCCTCGCCCGGCGAGCCCCGCCAGCGGCTGGAAGACGCCGCCCACCGCTCCGCGACGCGCTGCCTCCTCGGCCAGGACGCGGCCCCGCCAGGCGCCACCTGCTCGAGCTGCGCCCGCAGCGGGGAGCGGGCCAGCCGGCGCTGCGGAGAGCGCGGAGGTGGCCTCAAGGCGCGCAGCGGCGACTTCGAATCGGCGCGGGAGCACATCCACGCCGAGTGCGGCAACTTGGCGGCGCACCAGACGCCAGTGCCAGCGTGGGACGGCGCTGGCACTGCGCTGGCTGCGAGGCCGGCGGCACGGCGGCGACTCGGCCGGCGGCGGACGCGGCTTGCATTCACTGCGGCGCCCCGCTGACGGCCCGGCGCGAGGAGGCCAATCTCTACCTGGAGATCTCGCAGGCTGGCTGCCCGCGAGTCCTCATACACGTCGCCGTCCGCAACGGCGTGCCGGGTGACGCCGAGGGGTTCCGGGCTGCCGCGGCCCGGGACGGCGCCGTCAACGGGGGCGCCGAGGCCGACGAGCACGCTCGGTACCCCGCTGGGCGCGCGCCCTGGCGGATGGTGCCGGTGGCGTTCGAGACTGGTGGTCGTCACGGCCCGGCCGCCCTGCGGCCCCTGCGCCAGCTGGCGCGGGACCGCGCGCAGCTGCTCGCTGGGGACGACCCTGCCGCGGCCGCCGCGGCGGCCAGCGCCCTCGCGCGCCGCTGGAACGCGAAGCTCGCGGTGGCCTTGCAAGCTGCGACGGCCCGCCAGCTCCAGACTGCGCTGGGCGCGGAGCGGCCCTGCCTGGCGAGCGCGCGGCTCCGGCTGCCGCGCTTGCCGGCTGAGCTGGCGCGGCTGCGCGGACCTGGAGGGCAGCTACAGGTTCGACGCGACGCTGCCGAAACTCATTGTGGGCGCAGGGAGGAGGAGGAGGAGGAGGAGGAGGAGGAGGAGGAGGAGGAGGAGGAGGAGGAGGAGGTGGAAGAGGAGAAGGAGGAGGAGGAGGAGGAGGAGGAGGAGGAGGAGGAGGAGGAGGCGAGAGGAGAAAGAGGAGGGGAATGGTGAGTGGAGGACGAGAGGGTCCTGCTGACAGGCGCTGCTCCCCGTGGCTGGCAAGCCGATCCTGGACCACTGGTGGACATACCTATCGCAGCACAGGCGCTCCGCGGGAGGTGGAGGGGGAGCAGCATGACAAGAAGGACGCTCGCACTGTGGAGCACGATCGATGGAGAAGAAGCGCTGTGCCAAATAGTTCCCAGATGTCGAAAAATGTTGACAACACGTTGACGGCACGTGAACACATGGCTTAACCACGTTGGAACACTTAGCCAAACAAATTAAACAGATGTTCGATTCAATGATCGGGTTGTTAGGTTGCCCACCGTCATGGCATCCACAGGGCGATGCGAGTGATCCGCCGGACTCGCCGGAGCGCAGGCACGGATCAAGACGTGTGGATTGGCGACGGGCCTCGCTCCCGTGTAAAATCGGCGCGCCCCGTCAGGCTTTACGTGTTGGGCGGTATTTCCCCGATGCGTGGATCTAGCGCCCACACGCCAGGCCCACGGATCTGTAATCTGTAGCGTGCGCACGAGAAGGACAGCACGACGAGACGGATTTCATGAATGATCCGTCCATCAGACGGCGCTGGGCGTCCACTGGAGGAAAAAAAGGGGGGCGGTACTGCCCACTTATTTGGTGGCGGGGTCGCCGGCATTCTGCGATGCTGTCATGGAGCCGCCCGCCACAGGCGCCGACATTTCGTCAAAACGATGTTGTCTCGGGTGGGTCGCGGGCGAGGACGACAACACGAACACAAAACAAACAACAATATGCAGAATCTGCGCCGCGGAAATTCAGGGACACGCAATGACCGTTGGGACCCCTCAAGATGATTCCTCCACATCGAAACTGATGCATAATTTCATGTCCGTCTCCCGCTTCCCCGGCCAGTATTGAGCCAGGCGTGTTGTGCTATTTGTTGCTCGAATTGGCACGGTACCATGCGGTGATGATGATGATGGTAATGGTGATGATGATGATGATGATGATGATGATGATGATGATGATGATGATGATGATGATGATAATGGTGATGGTGATGGTGATGGTGATGGTGATGGTGATGCTGATGTTGTTGATGGTGATGGTGGTAACGGCGATGATGGTGATGATGATCAGGATGATGATGTTGTTGATGATGATGTTGTTGAGATGATGGTGGTGGCGATGATAGTGATGGTGGTGGTGAAGATGCTGAGGCTGTGGTGATAATAATGGTGGTGGTGCTGCTGCTGCTGATGATGATGATGATGAGGGTGATGGTGCTGAGGATGATGCTTATGCTGCTGATGGTGATGAGGAGGAGGAGGAGAAGGAACGGGAGGAGGAGGACGATGCCGATGACAATGACGATGATGATGACGATGGTTGATGAGGGTTTTGCCTGGTGTTAACAATGGAGATGATGATGTGTGGTGGCGATTGTGATGTCACGAGGAGGAAGGATGAGTGGTGTGGTAAGGAGAAATACGTAGACCGTAGACGCGTATGAATGATGTTATCGGCTTGTGGCGAGCACGGCCACGACGATCATGATGGGACGGTGGTTAGCGCTTAACTCTCGGGAGGCCAAGAGTGATGACGACGCTTGTATTGTCAATGCGTTACGTAATTAGTTTGCACGCCTGTTTCAGTTCCATAACAATGTTAAAGTTTCGTCAGGTGCCACATCGAACTTCAAGGATGTTGTCTAGGTTGCTCAATAACGTGTTTCTGATGCTTACGCGTGTCGTAATCCAATTTTGGCAGTTTGTCTGGTAACGCGGCGGTCTACACCAGTCGACGCCGTCCCATTCATTAGCAATGCTTCTCCAGTCAGCGTCGACGATTCAAAGCTCAGATGATAGATACTGAGTGAGATCAGCATATTGCGCAAGTTCTCCAGCGCTCCCAGCTTGACCCCATGCTAAGTTGGTTGGTCGAGGCACTCCTTTGTGTAGACGTCGCGGTCTACATGTGCACATGTCCTTAGGTTCTCCCAGGGCTGACCAGGCGTCGAGGGCAAAGTGCGATAACACAGAACATTAGTCGTTGGCGTATGCTCAGGGAGGAGGTAGCGTAGAAGAAGAAGGCGAATAAGGAGGAGGAGGAGTAGGAGAGTGAGAGAGAGAGAGGAGGAGGAGGAGAGATGAGGAGGAATAGGAGGAGGAAGAGGAGGAGGAGGAAGAGGAGTAGGAGTAGAAGTAGGAGGAGGAAGAGGAGGAGGATGAGGAGGAAGAGGATGAGAAATAGGAGTGTAAATTCAGGACTCACCAACGATATTGTAATACACCCTCCTTCCAAACTCCCCTCAAGGAGAGAGGAGGAGGAGGAGGAGGAGGAGGAGGAGGAGGAGGAGGAGGGAAGGAGGAGGAGGAGGAGGAGGAGGAGGAGGAGGAGGAGGAGATGGAGGAAGAGGGGGAGGAAGGGGACCATCGCATGCTAATGAGGAAGGCTAGGGTTAGGCCGACCCGACCCTAACCGAAACCTTGGAGTTACACCCGCTCTCCCCATACACACTCTTTCGTCCCTACGTCGCCGCCCTGTCCTTGAAGAGCTGGGCTGCAGGGAAGGGCAGGGAAAGTCGGGGGCGGGCCTTCATACTGTCCTTAGGATACCGGCCGCCTGAAACCAGAGACCACGCACCTTCCGAGAACTTGTTTCTGAAGCGCTCACTACATTCGCCTTTGAGTCCTTTGAGGTTGCTCCCCGAGTATCAGCTGCACTTCTTACAAATAATGAAAGAGGACTCGGCGTCAAGGTAATCGCTAATCATTAGACGGTGCTTCTTGGGGTCTCTAATTAGCTGGGGCAGCACTGCAGAATTGCCAGGGCAAGCTTCGCTCGCACGGGCCTGGCGGGTGCTGTCTCTGCGGGCACGAGTGTGACACGCTAGGCACAGCCAGTGGTTGTTGATCAAGCCCCACTGGTGGCAAGCCAACACTTGAGGGTTACGGCGGCCTTCGCGGGCTCGCCGAGAATGACCCTCAGGGGGGCTGAGGGGGTGGGGCCCAGTCCTTGACCGCACCCGCGGCTCCAACAGGGGGGTTGAGGCTCTTGGGGGGCTTCTCGTAGGCCTTTTTGCCCGTATTTGGGGCGAGGGCCTGCCACAAGGAAAGCGCCTCCGCTGCATGCTTCACAAATCTCTGAACTCTGCTGCGGGCTACTTTATAACATTATATCGCCATCTGGGACGGGGAGGGGATCTGGGCAGCAGCTAGTTTGGCTACCCGATCCGCCCATTCATTCCCTTTGGCAACAAACCAGTCCCTCGAGCCAGCCTCCAGGTTCGAGAGATCCTGATGGGCCTTAACTTTAGCAATCTCGAGGGCGCTAAAACTGTCCTGGGCGCTGGCCAGGACAGAAATTCCTGCGTGCATTTCTTTCCCACTAACCTCGGGGCTCTGGTGAACCGAGAGGGTGCCTTTAAAGTCAGCCCACGCTTTAGTGACTTTTGCGCGGGAGACGGCAGCCAGAAACCCTAAGCGTTCGGCAGCGGGCGACGCGGGGGGAAGGCTGGCCCCCACGGGCCCCGAGAGGCAGGTAACTAGGTCGCTCTCCTCATCGATTTTAACAACGGACCAGGCAGGGGCATCGTAAACCGCGGGTCCAGGTTTCGAAACACTGCCGTCGTGGAAAACTTCACCTTGCATGGCAACCTCCTTGAGCTGTCCATCGCGACACCAACGCGCGGCTTGGTCAAGTCCTAACCCAGGGGGGGCCTCAGAGCAATAGATTCAGGTCGAAGCTGAAACCCCAAGACGCACGGGAAACCTTTCCGCTGATCCTTGAGCTCCCCCACGCCCCCCTCAATCAACATCTCCTCTCTCAAGTTGCGGGTCTGCGGGCACTCGAAGAGCCTGTGGGAGAGGGAGGCCTCGGGGCCTTGACATAACTCACAACTGACTTTTCCTTTGTAGCCTGCCTCGGCTATCTTACCTTTTGTCCAGATACACTGGCATCCATAGGACAACAGAGTCTTGCGCTTGTGCCCCCGGGTACTGTCATATTGCAGCGCGTGCTGCATGAGCGACGGGTCCAGCGGCTCATCGAGACCTAGCTTCACGCTGGACTTCAAATCGAGCTGCCGCTGCCACCCGGATTGAAAAAGCCTCTTGATTAAGGCTGGGGAGGTCGTGATGAGTGGGTAGTCTTGCCCGTTGGCATCCTGGAACACGAACGGGTCGGGCGCAGTCCATCCTAGACGTCCCAAGCTGAGGATTGTGGCCCCGAGATGCCCTCTAATCTGGAGCCACTTCGTCGGGGGTTTGTTAAGGGCCTCCAGGGCCTGGGTGCGATGTTCGGGAAGCGTAGAGCTAGCAGTCTCAGGTAGATGAGCGACTCTCCAGATCAGATTGGCCCAATAACAGGCCGGCCTCAAAGCGGCACTCCAAGTCGGATCCCTTAGAATCGACAACACGAAAGATCTGGATATGGTAGCGCATCCGGGTCCCACGATCTTGAGGTGCAGGGATTGGGCCTCGTGCACCTCGGGGTTAGTGAGACCGACCACCTCTGCTCCGTAGTAGGCGGCCGCCTTCAAACCTGTCTGGTAATATTGCGCATATTTGCACCTCCTCTCCTAATCTGCGCCAAACGGTGGAGACGACGCCTCATTTTTACCGACCGCTTGATGAGGGTCTTGCGCGACTTGTTGTTGAGCCTTGGTCCCCATGGCGTAATCTACTCCGAGGTTTGGCGCGGACTGTGCTTGGTGAACGCCTTCGGGCCCGCTGTGCTTGCTTAGGGCCTTCGCCAGTCGCTGCTGCACCTCTGCTGACGAGCCTAGCGCCGCCGCCTTGTGCAGCGCGACCGAGCAATGGAGGTCCTCCTCGATTAAATCTAGCATGCTGTCGACGGCCTGCGCCAAGTCCGACGCCATGCTGTCGAGTCCTGCCCAACATGAAGTCACCCATGAAGATGGAGGGGTTCACAGTGGGGAACCTCGGGGCCCAGGAGTCCATGGGGGGCACCGTGCGCAGCTGCACGTTGCCGGTAGCGAACGAGCACCCCGCGGGGAAACCTTTAGTGGCACAACCAGCATAAGTAGCCAAGGTCCTCGTTGCAACTACCCTCGGGCCCCCATATTGGTTCACCATAGCGCATACTAGCGTCTC